GAAATTGCGCTAGTTTCTATGGCAATCTAAAAAAAGTCCTGTTTAATTCATAATATAACATAATAATACAATAGTATTTGTTCATATATGCTTTATGGGATTTTTATTGGTTCCAGAACATATTCACAAGAACAAAATCTCTGAGACTCTTTTTATGAAACCAGGATAATTCTACCCCCCAAAAAACATTGATTTCTCTGAGGAATACAAGGAAAGAATGTAAAATTAAATATTAGAAACAGAATCCAGTAGCACATTAAAATATATACTTTATTCAAGTATTATAATATATCCTAGTAATTACAATGAATGATTCTTTATTAATAGAATTCACTGTATCAGTGAATCTGTCACTATCACTGATTTTAAAATACATTTTCAAAATTCTCTCTCTGCAGTTTTTAGTATAATACTTTTTAATAAAATAGAGATGAATACAGACTTCCTTAATATGAAAAAAGAGATTTATCTCAGGTCAAAAGTAAATATAAATGTGTTGGGTATGCGGTTTAGTGATAGAGTGCTTTCCTAGCATGACTGAAGCCCCAGGTTCAATTCCTCAGTACCACATTAACAGAAAAATCCAGAAGTGGTGTTGTGGCTCAAGTGGTAGAGTGCAAGCCTTGAACAATAGAAGCTCAGGGACGGTGCCAGGCTCTGAGTTCAAGACCCAGGATGGGCAAAATATAAAAATATAAAGGTAAATGCCAGCCCTGCACCATTGGCTCAAGCCTGTAATCCTAGCTACTCCTGAGACTAACATCGGAGGATCATGCTTAAAAGCCAGCCTGGGAAGGAAGTCCATGAAATTCTTATCTACAATTAGCCACCAAAAAAGCTGCAAGTAGGGGACATGGCTGAAGTGGTAGAGTGCCAGCCTTGATCAAATAAGCTAAGGGACATTACCCAGGCCCTGAATTCAAGCCCCAGGCGCAGCGCGCGTGTGCGCACTCACACACACACACACACACACACACACACACACACACACAAAACTACAAATGAATGACAAAATGATTTTTGATTCTATTTCTAGCTGGAGCAATTTCGGACCCTTCTTATCACTTCTAAAGGGGAGAAAGAGAAACGAATGGTGGACAACTTCCGCCCCCTCCAGCCACTGATGAATCGCACTGTTCGCTCATCCTTCCGCCATGATTATGTGCTGAATGTACAAGCAAAACCCAAGCCAGCTGCCAGTCAAGTGGCCCCCTAAAATGTTCATGATAAGCAGTTATCTTCCTTTATTCAGAAAAGCTTTTAAAAACGTTAGACTACGTTAAACACCGCCATTTAATGATATTCACAGATACACATTTCTTTTCTTTTTTTTTTTTGGCATTTCAGAGTTATCCTTGTAAGGCAGGGAGGAGGATCCGAACATTACAAAATAACCGATTGGTTAACATCAAGTTATTTAGATTATCATTTTTCTATGAAAAGATTACTGATTAGTTAACACCAAGATATTTATGTTACCCCCCTCTTTTGTGAAAGGATTCTGTAATCTGATTTCCTGGAATGTAAAATAGGTTTATTCTCTGCTTGATGAAATGGAACTTTATTGTGAGTGACTCCATTTTGACTTTGGTTTGCCTGTTGGGGCCTAATATAAGAGTTTAGTACAAAATAACTGCATGTAGTTTCTCTCCTTTGGTCAGAATTTCACCATCAGTATGCAGTAGTGTTACTTTCAAATACGATCATTTTAGGCCACCAGTCTTAATGGGTCATTGATTCATGGGTTAGATATGCATTTATTGTTATGGGGTGCTTCACCAATCTTTGAGATAAGCTATTTAGTAAATTAATTCCTTTATTTGATTGATAATAATGATTAACAACTGTAATATCAGCAAAAGACATGTTTCTCTTACAGAGACCAGTTGGTAGTTTTACTGTGTTTCTATATCTGAAATATTTTAGCTATTTTTTGTGTTCATCAATGAATGGTTCTATAGAGTTTTTTTTAAAAACAGGTATTATAATAAAAATATTTAACTGGTAAAGACACATTGACCACAGAACATAGGCCTTTAAGAAAACAGCTAAGAAGCCTAGACCTCCTGGTTGAACATTGGCCATTTTTTAAGTCTATTTTACGTCAAAACATGAATGTGTATTGTTTTATTATGGCTTCTCAGTATATTTTCCCCAGTGTTTAGCTGCCAATATTAGCATCTGAAATGTCTGCTTATTAGCAATTTATTATATAGAAATATTTTTTGAAGTGGTAGAGGTGGTGATATTGACTGGAACAACACATAAAGTAATACATATGAAATATAACAATGAAATCTCCCTCTGTATTAATGTAAGCTAATTTAAAAGAAAGAAAAAAAGAAATTTTGTAATCATAAGAAAATATGAACTTTTACTATCTCTAGAAGTTCCTTTACATTTTTGAAAATCAGATGTTTCACTTAAAAGCTTGGAAATCCTATAGAAAGCATATGCAGGATATTTTAATAAAAATGTTTAAAATGCCAGAATGTAGAATTCTTTGTTTTGTTTTGCTTTTTACCAGTCGTATGGCTTGAACTCTGGGCCTGGGCACTACCCTTGAGTTCTTTGTTCAAGACAAGCACTCTACCCCTGGAGCCACAGCACCAGTTCCAGCTTTTTTGAATAGTTTATTGTAGATAAGAGTCTCACCGACTTTACTGCCTGGGCTGGCTTTGAATCATGATCCTCAGATCTCAGCTTCCTGAGTAGCTAGGCTTACAGGCATGAGCTACCAGTGCCTGGCTTGACTGTAGAATTCTTTCTTGGTATAGTTACAGAAACATGTTAAAAAGGACTAGTAATCTAGTATATTCTTTATAGCATTCTTTTGCATTATTTGTACACTGTTGCAGAGGAACTTATTTTATTTACTCATTAATCATGACTCTTTGACAAGCAGGTAATCAACTAAATCTCCAGTTTATACAGTAATTTAGAAGACTTTTGTAATAGTAAGAGGGAGACTTGTGGGATAAAGTGTAGATAATGAAATATATTCTGAGGCTTTCCATGTCACAGTTGATCTTCTTTGTAAATATCTTAGAATATTTTTAGCTTCACTGTGTTCAAATTCAGTGTTGCATTCAAACTAGAAGTATTTTATTAGTGTACTAGTCGTCTAGTCTACAAAATAGTATTGGATGAATATACCTAAATGTATTGATATCACAGAATGCTCATTGTGATAGCCACTGTAAGAAGAAAAAAAATGACAAGTGTTCTAAGAAATCCTTGTATACTATCAACAGGAATGTAACATGGTACAGTCACTAAAAATGGAATTATCATGTAATGCAGAAATCCCACCTCTGGATAGCTATCCAAGAGAATTTAACTCAGCATCTGAAAGAGATATTTGGAAACCCATGTTCATAACAGCATCATGATATCCAAGAGTTAGAAGAAACCTATGTGTCTGTCCATTGACAAAGGGATGGCTAAAGGAAGAAAAGTATAAAGGAAATCTAAAGGAAGAAAAGTATTGCCTTCATGGAAATACTATTACATTTACAATGTAGATTAAACTTAAAAACATCATACTATGTGAAATAAGCCAGTTACACAAGGACACATAATGTATTATTTCATTCATATAAAGTGTCTAAAGTCATCAAAATCATAGAAACAAAGCAGAAAAGTGGTTGAATAAGGGGAAAGAAGAGGAAATTTCTATTTAGTGCTATAATAGTTAATAATGATTGTCAACTTGATTAGACTAAGAGATGCCTAGGAAATTAGTCAAAAAAAAAAACACCTCTAAATGTGTCTGTGATGCAGTTTCCAGGGGCAAATAATAAGAGCTCTGTCCTAACCAATAATTTAATCAACTGATAGGTTAAAATGTTAAATAGATTACTAGAAGGTGGTAGAAATGTGGAAGGTAGGGCCTAGCTGGAAAAAGGTCACTGGATTAATTTCCTTAAATGCTACATCTGACCCCTGGCCTCTTCCTTTCACTCCTCTGCTCTTGAGGTGAACAATTTTCCTCTGCCATACCATTCGCCATGACCTACAACCTCATCCCAAGCCCAGAAACATGGAATCAGCTGACCATAGACTGAAATCTCTGAAGCCATGAGCCAAAATAAATCTTTTTCTGCTTTAAACTGTCTCAGGGTTTGGTCATAGTGATGGAAAGTCTAACACAAGTGGTCATTTCAGAGTTGTAAGATGAAAAGTTCAAGAGATCTGTTGAATGCAGACACACCATCAATGAACTGTATGCATAAAAAGATTAATATGGTGATTTTTTTCTATTTTCTTGTTATTATAAAGGTGATACACAGAGGAGTTACAGTTATATAAGTCAGGTAATGAGTACATTTCTTTTTAGACTATGTCACCCTTCCCTCACCCTCTCCTAGAAGATGTTTTTTTTTTAAATAAAAAACCATCATTAAGATAGTAAAATTCTCCTAGTATTCAAGAGACTGAGGCAAGAAATTTGTGCGTTCAAGGCCAGCTTGTGCTACATAGTGAGTTTAAGTTTCACCTGTGCTTCATAACAATATCATGTCTTAGGGAAAAAAAAGATGAACTGAACATGCTGGCTTATTCTTATGATTCTAGCTGCTCAGGAGCCAGAGAATGGGAAGATGGGAACTAAAAATCTGGACCTGGTGGTGTGTGCTTGTCATCCAGCTATGAGATGGGCATAAATAAAAGAATTGAGATCTGCACCAGAGTGGGCAAAAAGCAAGACATTGTATGAAAAATTATAAAACCAAGAAGGGTATGGCTTAATTGGTAAAGTGCCGGTCTAGGAAGTACAAAGCCCTCAGTTCAAACTTCAGTAATACCAAAAAGAGATGGTAAAATTTGTGTGTGTGTGTGTGTGTGTGTGTGTGTGTGTGTGTGTGTGTGTGTGTGCGTGTGCACATGTACTCAAATTCTGGGGCTTGTACTCAGGGTTTTGGCACTGTCCCTGAGCTTTTTGCTCAAGGCTAGCTCCCTACCACTTGAGCTACAGTTCCATTTCTGGCTTTTTTGGTGAGTAATTGAATATAAGAGTCTCACAACCTTTCTTGCTCAGGCTGTCTTTGAGCTGTGATCTTCAGCTGTTGGTTTCCTGAGTAGCAAAGATAACAGGAATGAGCCCGTGGAGCCCACCCAATTTATATGTATTTTACTGCAGAATTAAAAATTAAATTTAGTGAATCAAAGAAAGGTTTGGAATTGTACATGCAAATTTGGAGAGCCATCTCTTTTCTAAACAAAGAGTAGGGGTTAAGACTTTTGATTATGTGCCATATAAAATGTATAAAATGTCTTAATATCTTTAAGTAGTTGCACAAAGGATTAACAACACCGTCTATGAATACAATGCATCTTGATCAATGTCACCCCTTTCCCTTTTCACTTTCTCACCCATCCCTCCCAACCTACCCTTTCCCTCACTTTTCTTAATTTTGTAGGACATACATTGAATTCTTGACTTCATTCTCACATCTTTTCTTCTTTATTGTTCTATCCCTTTCCCCTTGACCCCACCCTACTCCGTAGAAGTACCCATTCCTCATATTTATTTTGTTGAACTTTGACTTGGTCTTTCTAAGGGAATCACACTATTTGAGGTTTCTCTTGAATCTACTATATTTCAGTCAATACATTTGTGTTCACTTACATTCCACCTATTTGCTTAAAAATTTATAAGTGAATTCTAGCTTCCACATAGAGGAGAAAACACGCAACCTTGGTCTCTCTGAGCCCTAACTTATTTCACTTAATATAATTTTTTCCAGGTCTTTCAATTTTGAGTGATACAATATTATTTTCTCTAATGGATGAGTAAAATTCTATTGTGTATATACATTTTCTTGATCCAGTCATCCAATGAGGGCCATCTGGGCTGATTCCATACCTTGGCTATGGTAGATAGTGCTGCAGTAGTGCTATTGGCTTTACTCTATCCTGATTTGTGGTCTTTGGGATAAATGTCCAGGAGTGCATTTGCTGGATCATAGGATAGTTCTGCAGTTAGTTTTGTGAGGAAACTTCATACTGCTTTCCAGAGTGGTTGAAAGTGGTTAAAAAGACAAATATGGATGACTGAGGATATTACTTAGTGGTAGAGCACTTGGCCTAGTATGTTCAAAGTCCCAAATTCACCTCCAAAAAAAATGAAGTGAAATTAATAAAAAAAACATGGTGGAAAGAAATTTCCATGCAATTCATTGATTTCAAATTAAAGCTACCTTTCAAAGAGTAAGCATACAAGATATGCATTTTGAAGGGGGGGGGAGATGGGAAGGGATGGGAAGGGGAAACAAAGGAGGAGGCAACAATGCTTGATAAGAAATGTACTCATTATCTTGCTATGTAATTGTAACCCCTTTGTATGGTGTTTTCACAATAAAATAAAAGGTTTGATAAAAACTATGCATTTTCCGGAGTGCACAGGCTTTCCGTCTAGCCTCTTGCAAACTCTCACCTCAAATTTTTTTTATTACAGTTAACCTTTCAGATTAGAGTGGGAAGCAATGTATGGAATGGCTGACTTGCCTTTATGCCTTAGACATACAAATGTATTTATAAAGCAGATGTTGTCTTGGGTTATCACTGCAGATTTAATTGGATTTGGTGTTCTAGTGTAATTATAATCATATCCCCTTCCACTCTCAACCAAGTCCCAGTGTGTGTGATAAATTCTTGGTCATTTTCTCTGCAGAGAAGATGGATGCTACTTTGAGGTTGCTTTTCCTACCATCATGTCTTAGTTATGTGACCCTTCGAGGAGCACTGTGGATCCCCTGCCTAATGATACAATTCTAGCAGGAAACTTCTTAAGATTTTTATGCCTTCAAAGTGTTGAATTTGTACTTTCATAAGGATGAAAGTTGAAACTAGGCTTAAGATCTGTCAGAGATCTTGAGATAGAATGGTATATTAAAATCATTGCTCATATTTTTTTTGTCCCAGACCAGGACTCAAAATTGGTATATGATGCTTGCTTTCACTCATTGGCTGGTGTTCTACCATCCAGCTGCTCATCTTAAATAATGTTATATCAGTAAACCCTTTCTTTACAGTAGTAATGGTTTTGGAATGGATTTTCATTTGTGTTAGTTGTTTGGCATGGAAGATGTTTGCAAAATTAGAGACATCCTTCAGCATATACATCAGAAAATCCACATTGGATTTATTAGAGGAGAACTAACAGGAATGACTAGCCAATCCTCCACAACTCAGGAATTTCTGTTCACAATCTGCTGACATCACCAAACAGAGCAGGCTTCCAGCCCCTTTCTTCTTTCCCTGGTAGATACATGGTGTTGACCAAGTTCATTGTTTCCTGGTTACAAACTTGTCTGAGTCTGGCAAAACAGAACCCACTAATATGCAAGAGGTTACACAGAGCAGGTGTGTTACTTATAGCAAAACAGCAAAAGACAAAAAATAGTTTATGGTCTTGTACATCTCATTGTTACAATGGGTCAACTTGTATCACTATGTTGAAAACATAGTGTTGAAAACATACAACTTGGAGGGGGGAGGGAGGGGTTGAGGAGAGGGGAGGGAGAGGAAGGTAACAAGCCTCCATAGGAAATGTACTCATTACCTTATTCATGTAACTGTAATCCCTCTGTGCAGTATTTTTGCAATAAAAACATATAGAAAAAGAAGTTTAGGGTCATTTATATGCTGTCCCCCAACCCCATGCTCGAAAAAACTTCCTGGGTAAATGGAGTCTTGATTGCATATGCCTCATTCTACCACACCCAAGGGGCCCTAGAAGGCAGTTTCCCCTCCCCTTTGTTTAGGTTAGGGCCTATGGAACTTCAAATTACATCCTGGTTCCAGTGAAGAGTGGAGCCATTGGTTGAGGCAGTTCCTCCTTATCCCAGAACATTGCATTTCTGGCATAGTTATTCTTGAGAAGTGCAAGTTAGAAGTGGGAAGGACTGTGTTGGTTTAAAGTCACCTAACTGTCCCACATATAGATTATTGTAAAGCTTCTCATTCTAAAACCAAGCTTCTACTAAAAATGTTCAGAAAGCTGTCTTTCTGTATTGAATTCAAATGATAGCAATTATAGTTTGGAAGTGGCACTGGTTTTTAGAGTTCCTTCAGTAATGAAATTAACTTGAGCAATGAAAGCTTGTTCATGAAAATAAATCCAGTGGTTAACGGTTGCAAATAAAGGTCTAACTCTCACAGAAGGAGATTCACATTCATTAATCAAGTGAAATGAAGAGTGTCTGTATTCTTTTTAAAATCAGGATTGTCTTTCTATAAGACATTCTTATTGTTCTGAAGCAAAAGTCAGAAGAGATAAGAGGAACAAATTTCAGGTAAGGAAAGTATTCGGTCACTCAAAACATAGGGGTTGCTAATGTATCCTTAGCAAGTTTTTCTTGGCCTTGTTCCTGGTCTTGTGTTACACTCCACACTTATCAGGGCTTAATTTTAGTTTCTCAATCTCTCATTGTCTCAGTTAATTCCTTACCACGTTTCACCTAGATTATTATGACACTGTATTCCGGTTTTATTTCCTAATGCTTTATATGACAAATTACAATAATTTACCTTGAACATAAATATCACAATAGGTCACTATAACTTTCAATGTTTTCTCACTGTGTACAAAGCATAAGCAAAGTGTCATAGCATGGCACAGCAGGTCCCCATTCACAACCTAGTTTCAGACCACCTCTATGTCTATATTCCTTGATACCTTCTCAATACACACTTTAAATTCACCGTGTGCAGTACATTCCAGTTTTACTTCTCAATGCCTTTGCTTATTTTGATTTGCCTGTAGGTTTCTTTCTATCCTTCCCCATCAAGTTGAAGTCCATTTTCCTTCAAAACTCAAGTTGGTGGCCAGTGGCAAATGCCTGTACTTCTAGCTACTTAGGAGGCTGAGATCTAGAGGATATTTGATCAAGGCTAATCTGGATAGAAAAGGCCCATTGCCAAAATAACCAGCAAAAAGCAGGGTGGGAGTTGTAACTCAAGTAAAAGAACTTCCATCAGGGCAGAAAGTCCAGCAATCTCTCAGTTCAAACACCAGTACTGTCACAAAGAAAAACCTCAATTCAAGCGCTAGAATTCCTAGGTGGAATATATCAAGTAAATTCCATCTCTGCCTACACTGTGTTCGTGTATTGAGCGTTCTGTGCATCCCGTTTGTAAACTCCTTAGGAACAGATGATACAATCTCTGTTATCTCATGATCTCGGGTGTGTGTGTGTGTGTGTCTTTGTGTGGTTCTTTTACGTGCGCCAACTGGAATTAAAGGAGGGAGGCGGTTGTCTGAGCTGCTGCTTTGTGGAGCCATAGAGAGAGGCGGAGCCTGGAAAAGTCCCAAAGAAATAACTCCTCCCTCCCACGCTGCTGTGTGTGGACTAAAATTTAGGAATTGAATGGTGGCCTGCAGGAGGTGTAGGCGGAGTGCAGAAGCCCTCGGGAAGCACTGGGGTGAAAAAAAAGATTCGATCACTTTAGGGCGGAGTAAAAGGTTCTCCTGAAGTGTTCCGACCTAGAAGAAGGCTTTGACAATGTTTTGACAAGGCTTTGACAGATTAAAGGATTTTTAAGAGTTTTTGACAGATCAACGGCTTGCGACGAGCCCCGCCCCGGTGAGGCCTGGCAGTCCTCGCGTGTGCGCTTGCGCCCGCCCTCTCGGCTCAGAGATCCCGCCTCTTCCGGTCACTTTTTTGGGAGGCGGAGCAGCACCGGCATCATGGCGTCTCCGGATATGATGTTTCTTAGGAAACTCAGGTAAACCCCGCGTGAGCAAGTGAGACCAAAGGACAGAGCAGGTCGAACCTGTACGGAGAGGACGAGCTGGGAGGAAAGAAAGGAAAAAGGGGGACAAGGAACTGAGCCAAGTGAGACAGCCGCCGCTGCCGCGGGAACCTTAAGCCCTCCTAGGGTGTGTCCTGCAGCGCCGCAGGCGTCCGCCGGCTTAGGAATGTGAGGAATGGAACAGGTGGCTGATAGGAGAAGACCTGCTATTTTATTTGAGGGTAGAAGGACGAGGCGGTAGGCGTTGTAGTTAAATTGGGAGAAGCGAGGTTTTCCCTGCGGAGCACCTCATTGATTTCCTTCCTCTCTGGGGGCGCCCACAGGGCTGAGGCGGGGAGCGCCGCCCGCGCGATCGCTCACACTGCTCTGTGTACTTTTCACTCTTGCAGCCACAAAAAGTATAGGGCCGTCCTGAAGAAGGAGAAACGAAAGAAACGTCGGCAGGAACTCGCCCGATTAAGAGATGCAGGTAATAGTCCCACGCCTTACCCCGTTTTCTGTGTGTGTGGGGGGGGGCGGGGGGGAGGAAATAGGTCCCCTTAACTCCTGTCCACAATTGATGGCTTGACGTCAGAAGAAAGTCAACTCTTTCATTTGAGGCATTGCCTGGCTGCTGTTTCTCTGTTAAGCTGATAGTTGCATCTGTATCAAGAACACAGGGTGGGAGGAGTAGTGAACAATTATTATGTGTGTTCATAATGAATTACAGTACTTAACCACACCTTGTACACTGTGGCATGGTTTGTTTTGTTTTTGCAACAGGAATGCAAGGTTTAGATTAGACGTTTTACTGATTTCCCCCAAACTTTAGTAATGTATGAGACAGTCTAAGTTAGGCATGGCGCTCTAAGCTAGTACTTGCAGCAGAGTTACTCAGGAGGCAGAGATCAGGATACAGTTGTCTCCGCAAAAGCAGGTAAGACTTACTCAACTAATAAAACAACTGTGTGGCAGGCACAGGTACTGAGGATGGAGTCTAAAGCCAGCAAGGCATAAGCACAGGACACCCGATTTGAACAATAAAGCAAAAAAGGGCAGGGATGTATCTCAAATGATAGAGCATTTTGATAGGCAAATGTGAGGCTCCAAGTTCAAGCGCCAATAATGACAGAGAGACAGAGAACTGACCCTTATTTGTCTCAAGGTACTACTATTTTAGTATTGATAGTATCAAGCTAGTTATTTTAGTATCAACCTAGTTCTGAAACTCTTACTTGATTATGAAATAGCACACTTAAAATTAGAAAGCCATAGGGAATTACATATCAGTACAATGCAAGTGTGCATTAATGATTTTCACAACATGCAAGTTTGGAATGTCTCTATTACTGTTGCACTATGGGTTAGATTTTTCCCCTCTATTAAACTACAGTACAATCATCATTTGGCCTTCATATGAAAGAACCTAATATTTGTTTATGTTATCTAATTGCTTAACACAATAGAATTCCCACTTAGTTATACGGTTACATGTCGTTATAAATGCAGATGGTAGCACGGAAAAAGTCCAGAGACTCTGGCCTCAAGTAGTAATCAGGAGCCTTGAGAATTATAGGCATAGAATTTTCATGTGCTATTGGAATTCCCAGGTGACTATTTTACTAGCAGCACTTGGAATATTTAGAATGGAAGGAACAATGTGTTTACCTGCAAACTGTATAAGAACCTCTCTTTTAGTAGTTGAAAACTGTTCCACTAGAAGCAAGACTTTGTGTCTGTGTAGGGGATGAGAGGTAAAACAAAGGTAGGCTGATGTTACTGGTGCTACTGTAGTTTTAAACCACCTTTTTGAAGTTCTCAGCTATTTTACTTTGCTCACTTTATCTTTTAATTACCCTTTTTTAAACAATAAAATACCTTCTTCTTCTTTTCTTTCCCTATTTTAAATCCTTTAGCAGCTGGTATTTATATTGTGTTGATTTTTTTTAATTTCAGAAAGTCATTTTAGAACGGTCATGGTAAGTCAGGTAGATAGTATCCCTTAGCAATTTATCCAGTAGAAGAATCTGAGTCCCTGGTCTGCTCAAGAGTATATAATTAATGGTAGATCCAAGATTCATCACCTGTCTAGTTCTACTCACTCCAACTCAATTCTTTCCTTAGTGGTGCTTCATGAATACTATGAACTATGACTGTAGTACATATTAGATGGACAAACATTACCCAGAATGCTAGAAAATTGAGTGTTACTATAATAGTACATTGTCTTCTAACACCCGTTATTTTTTCTAATCACGTGGTACCAAATTTGGGTGAGTAGGATCACTACTATTAGAAAGATTAAAAGACTGTACTTTCTTCTTGAATTTATTAACCAAGGATTTACAATATTCAGCTTAATATATATTTGAATTCCTCTAGGCATTTCACAGGAAGAGAAGGAAGAGGATACTTCTGTTGAAGAAGAAGAAGAAGAAGAAAAGCTGTTGGAGAAAGAGAGGTCAATGCTAACTGAAACATTTAAAGCAAATTCATATATTTACTTAAAAAATAACATCAGCCTTTACTAACTAGTACAGGTTTTCTATATAAAACTTTGTTCAAAATAAGTCTTACCTCCTATAAGCTATTTAAGTCTCTAGCTGACAGGCTAACATCAGATGTTATCTTTTTTTAATGGAAGTATTTTCCACAGTCTTTGCTAATTGACTGATAGTTTTTTTCCTAGAAAAAAAAGAAAATTAAATACTTAGTGAGTACAAAAAAATTGCAAGATCTTCAGTAAATGTGGCACTCCCAAAGTTAGCCATTGTTACGGAATATAAATGTCCCGTGCATATATACTTCTATAATGTGATGATACTTATACCAGTTTTTCTGTAAATTGCTGAAGGGAAAGGGAAAAGGAAAGGAGGAGAAAGAGGCCAGTAAATGTTGAACAACAAATAGGTGACAATCGAAAAGGAAAACGAAAGTATAATTCAAGTATAAAGTTAAAAAACAGAATTTGTACATTAACGAAGTTCCACAGTAATGAAAAATGGAAAAAAATTGTTGATTCTGGAGTTTGAAATCAAGGCTTTGTACTTGTTCAGCTGGCATACAATCAGTTGAGCTATGCCTCCAGCCCTGCTTTTTGCTGGCTACTTTGATGGAGTCTAGTGCACTTCACATATCTGGGTTGGCTTTGAGCCACTGTCCTCCAGATCGCGTCTTTCTGACTAGCTAGGATTACAGAGCCATAAGCACCCAATTGATACATTGCTTTCTCACTAAGCAAATAGTACATATATTTCAGTGTTGATGTAGCAATCTGATTATTTATCCATAATGTGTTGTTTTCTACTGATTGCTCTCAGGTTATAATGGCTTTGTACTGTTACATAAAAATTTTACATATAATATTTACATGTCCTTGGCAATTAACATTATAGCCTTAGAAGAATGCCTAGAAATGAAATTGTTGGGCTCTAAGGATGTCTGTAAAAATGTAGATGACCAATAGAAAGAATATTCTGCTTTGCAGTTTACAACTTGCCAGCAATGAGTCAAGATGCTAGTCTCCCCAGACCTTTACTCATGGTTAGATACTTGAAGACAAATCATAGGAGTATTTTAACTGTATAGAGAAATAATCCAAAGCTTTCTGGCAAAAGATGTTGGGTATTTATAGACTGCAGTTGTGAAATTGCCACATTTAAAATACATAAAGTAGCTTGGGATTGGTGATTCACACCTGTAATCAGGAGGCTGAGGTAGGGTAGAAGTCTGAAGCTGGACTGGACTACTTACTGACTTTTAGACAAGCCTGGGCTCCATACTAAGACCCAGTAGCAAAAGTACGACAACAAAAAATACTGGTGCACATCTGTAATCCCAAGAAAAGGAAGTAGAAGGATTATGCTTCTAGGCTCTCCCTAGGCAAAATTTTGACCCTATCTGAAAAATAAACTGAAAGTATAAAGGGATGGGAAGTATAGATTGTTGCCTAGATCTGAACTCTAGTAGGAGGAAAAACAAAAAAGCCTATAGGATAGGAAGAATAATGCTTTCAAAATGTGAAAAGTGAAGTTTCTTTTGAAGCTTGTCATTTGCCTTATTGACAAATGAATATCACTGTGATCACCTTAATGGGAAGGTGGTGTACTCATTTTCTTATGTGAAGGTTGTGATAGCTATTTCCACTGGTGAAATTAGAAATAAGTGATTGTAATTTACTATAGTTTTTCACAAGCTATTCTTAAGAGTTGGAGATATAATATACCTCAGTGGTAGCGTGTTTGCTTAGCATGTCCTAGGCTCTCTCTCTCACACACACACATACACACACACACACACACACACACACTTGTGTTTTTTTATGCCTATATGACTATGTGACTGCTTTGTAGAGAGTATCTTTTCTGATGTTTTATCAGTCCCAAAGCAAGTCATTTTTGACCTTGTTTGCTGTCTTTGTGTGTGTGTGTGTGTGTGTGTGTGTAGCGTATGTGAATGTGTATGTGTATAGATCAATTCCTAGTTCTTCTTCTTGATTGCTTTTTATGTTAATAGGCAAAAATTACATGAGCAGTGGTTGCTGCGGGAGCAAAAGGCACAAGAAGAATTCAGAATAAAAAAGGAAAAGGAAGAGGCAGCTAGAAAACAGCAGGAAGAACAAGAGGTAAAGTATTAATCAAATAACCAGTGAAGTAATTAGTAACTAAACAAAATAACACCATATCCAAAGTATATCATCATATCTATGCATGAAAGTATCACGATGAAGCCCATTATTTTTTAATTCTTTTAAAAATTCAAATAGTTTTAAAAAGGGTTTCAATTTTTAAAAATATAATTTATTATTATTAAGGTGTTGTAAAGAGGGGTTACCTTTTCATCAGTTAGGTAGTGCGTATAAATCTTTTTGGACAATATCACCCCTTTCTTTGCTAATCACATATCCCTCTCAGTAAATACATACTTTAGCTTTCTGGTGTTCCTTTTGTTAAACTGTCTGTAATTGTTCAAAAGGCTGACACCAGGGAAACTGCATACCATACTTGAGTTAGTTTGATTGTATATTGTAAAGTCCATTATTTTGTACAATTAATATACAGTGATAAAAATGTTAGAAACAACAAAATGGATTTGTGAGCTTTAAAAAGTTACATATCTTTAACTTTAAAAAACAACCTGATAATCATTGTACCATTCTTGGGATTTGAACTCAGGGCCTGGGCGCTATCCCTAAGCCTCTTGGTGCTCAAGGCTAGCGTTATACCACTTGAGCCACTGTACCACTTCTGGCTTTTTCTGAGTGATTTATTGGAGAAAAGAGTCTCATAGACTTTTCTACCTGGGCTGGCTTCGAACCACGATCCTCCAATCTCATCCTCAGAGAATTTGTTCCTTATTCTATCTTCATGTCCACCAAATGGTATTATAATTAGATTTGAGAGGAAGTGCTCACATAGTGTTCACCTACTTTCTGTTTTGTTATACCTCCCATAATAAGCCATGATACTGATATGTTTGCTTCATTACACTTAAACTCACTTTATGGGCATCTGTTGCTACAAAATATATTAGATCTTGATACATTGTGAAATAAAATTTTGGAGACTCCAGAAGTAAAGTGGTATGAAGCCCAAATCATTTCACAGGTTTGTATTTTTATCATGGGAATTTTACTAGTATTTTTAAAGTTTTCATTTATTTTCCCTGTTTATTCAATGTTTTTAAAAAGAGAGTCTGAGGGCAAGGACATAGCTAATTGGTAAAACGCTTGCCTTGCATAGGTAAATCCCTGGGTTTGATCTTCAGCATTGTAAAAGAAGAAAAAGAAGTGAGTGTGAAAAATAACTATTCTCTGTCTCTTTTTAACCTTTAAAGAGAAAATTAAAGGAAAAATGGGAAGAACAGCAGAGAAAAGAGAAAGAGGAGGAGGAACAGAAACTTCAGGAGAAGAGAGAAAGAGAGGTGATTCCTGTCGTGGGAGGATAGACACACCACATGTCTTCTTGGGGTGCACGTGTCTTCTTGGGGTGCACATTGCTGTATAATGGGTTTGCAGAAGAAGCCGGGGGCATATCAGGGTTGGAGGTTTTTGTTTCTGTTTTCTTTTTGCTTTGTTTGTTTGTTTGTTTGGAAAGTCCTATATTTAGTCTAGATATGCATCAGAGTTTCCTTACCATAACCATACTCATCTTTGGATCTGTGGAGTGACAGGTGCCTCCAAAGTTTTCTCCAGTTTTACTCAATTTACCCGTTATACCAGGCATTGGCAAGCTTTTGTATTTAAAGAGCAAGATAGGAACTTTGGGCTTTGGTGTCTCTGTGGCCTCTCTCACAAATGTCCAGCTTTGTCAGTGTACCAGAAAGCAGTCATAGATCTAGATAATACATAAATGTATGGCAATGGTTGTATTCCAGTCAAACATTTCTACAAAGCAGGCCGTCAGCCCTGACTTTACACTATACTTTTCTATCTGTAGAAAGTATTTTTCTGCAATTCTGCTGATTCTCTTGATTCCTATAGATGGTATTTTATGTAGTTTCCACATTTATTTAATTAGGGATTTAATGGCTTTGACATATCAGAATTACTTGATTTAAAGAAATCAGGAACTCAAATATTGTGGAATTAAATCTTGTGTTGTTATTAAAGTTTGACTTTTCTAACTTGGGCTATAAAGGCAAATGATAGTCGGTTATTTTAAATAATGTGTATATGTATATCTTCTATATCTTCCAGGCTTTTAAAAAGGTTCATTTGGTTTGTTTTGCTGCTACTCTTTACCAGTGCATGTATTTAAAAGATAAAACAGATCATCTTTCCCTGGTTGATTCATCAGGATGTATGATTTTGGAATATTTCTAAATTGGAATAGCATAAAATTGGGTAATTGCCTTATTGTTGGGAAAAATGCATTTGTTTTCATCTTAGTCATGATGGGAAGCATCAGTCTCCATGACTTTTGTTGTGTATCAAGCATCTGTTCCCATGCAAATCCTTTGCATACTTTGTTAGGTTTTTAGGGGCACAAAAATTACTTGAAGCTTGTCATATTTTACAGAGAGGAATCAATTCCTATTTTAACTTAAAATATTCTTCATAAGTGGTCTTGAAGGGGGAGGCTCAGTAGAAAGCTAAGCCTTCTTTTAAATGCTTTTATTTCAAAGGAAACCTTGTGAGTCACTAAGGAATGAACCAGCTTCTGAGCACATATAAAGGAACATGCGGTGTGTGTTTCTGCTCTGTATTCATAGATGGAGATAGATTAGTGAGAAACAACACAGTCCTGCTGTTATTGAGCTACTTTTCCAGATCTGGTGGGTATTAGGGTACTGGTGGGAGATGATAAAACAAATCATTTAAAATACAGTAAGATATACTGGGCACTGGTGGCTTATACCTGTAATCATAGTTACTCAGAAGGCTGAGATCTGAGAATTGCTGTTCAAAGCCAGCCCAAACAGGAAAGTATGTGAGACTCTTATCTCCAGTTAATTACCAAAAATCTGGAAGAGGAGCTATGGTTCTAGTAGTAGGGCACTGGCCTTGAGCAAAAAAGCTCAGAGGCAGTACCCAGGCTCTGAGTACAAGACCCACGAGTGGTGTGTGTACCTTTCACAACACACACACACACACACACAAATAAGATAATGCTAAGTTCTTTAAAGAGATAAAGGAGAGTTATGGGAATGGAGGGGTCCTTATTTAGGTGATTTGATCAAGGAAGCCTCTGAAGATGTGATATTTGAGCTGATGCCCGAGTATAGATCTTGGGGAGAAAAGACTTGGCAGTGGAAAGAAGGCCTGGGTACCTAACAGGAGCATTGGAAGAGGTGAGGACAGGAAGGGTCAGATTATGAAGGGCCTCTTGGATTTGAAGAAAGTTTGGGTTTTCTGGTTAAGTGTAATGGGGACCCATTGAAAGGTTTTTAAACTGAGAGTGACCTTATACCATTCATATTGTTACTTCCACTAGAGCTACAATAAGGTTATAAAACTGCCACTCTAGATAGGAGATGATGGTGGTATGGATGAGGGTGGAGCTTATAAAAGATAAGGACAAACATTTGAGCTGTGTTCTAGGCTGAGTTAACAGGCCTGTAGGTGGTTATTTGAGTAGAAGTGAGAAGGAAAGGGAGAGGATTTCAAGCTCATATTTTAAAAGTTGTTTTGCTTCAACAGCTGGGCAAATGGCAGCATGGTTTAGGAGTTTGTAGGCAAGGGTACATAGAGGAGAACATGAGTTCTATTTGAGGGCCAAGATAATGTTAAGTGGCAAAGTACATCCTAAGCACATGCAGGGCTCTGGGGTTGATCCCTAGCACCATAAACAAATGACTGAATGAAAAGAAAGATTTCTGAAATACGTTATGTTACCAGGGCTTTTCTGTGTCCAATAGAGTTATCAAGTAAATAGCTAAACATGAGTTATTTATTTATTTGAGGAGGTAGAGAAGAGAATTCTGTAGAACACAACTTAAAATGTCGTTAAATGTGAAATAGTAGAAATTTTATGGGAACATTGCAAGACTTCCTTTGCCTTAATGAAAGTTTGAAATTTCTCCTAAATCTTAATTTCTACTGATCATGTCATCCTTTGACTTCTGTTAAATACTTGTGATGTTTAACCTAGCATTCTTTTCTATAATGTTGGTTAATATCTTAAAAAAACAAGATAATGGTATGTATGTTCAAATATACCAAATATTATTGTTACTGAGCTTTTATAAGATTTTTTATAAGATTTTGTAATGTGTTCTATTCAATTTTCTATTTGAATAAAAATTCTAAGATACATATCCTTTGAAAGCTTTCAGAAGATCTGTGCTTAGAACATCAGAACCTGAAGCTTTTGTGTGTGTGTGTGTGTGTGTGTGTGTATGAGTATGTATGTATATGTGTGTATTTTAGTTGTTCCACATCAGATTCTAACCAGAGAAACCAGAAATGACTTAACCTGATTTTTGGGTTTTCATTAGTCCTATGTTTGCCCCATTTGTAGGAAGCCATGCAGAAGATGCTGAATCAGGCTGGAACTGAGGTATTTTTAAAACCTTTCATTAAGAATTCTTAAGACTAGTTACTGTGTCAGTAGAACAATAATTACTATAGTGTTCGTTGTGTAGTAGGCCTCATAGATCACATCTGAATATCTGGAATCACGTTGGCGCCTCTTCAGTTTGTCAGAAAACAAAACTTTATTGATGAACAGAAACAAATGGAATTGAATAACCCCACACACTACTTATTTAAAGTGCCTTAAAGTATTGTAAGCCACATCACATACCGTTAGCTTCAGATGTCTCCTTGATTCAGAGTATCATCTCCATTTCACAGTGGTAGCTCCATAAGTCTTGAGACTCTTTCCAGAATAGATGGACAGAAGAGAAACTGAAGTGACTGTCTGTGGTGGCAGTAGTGGTGGCTGATCAAGGAAAGTGACTGGGAGAGAGAAATACAGCTTTTATCTCTGGAAAAGTTGCTTGTGAAGTGTTGATTGCCTATCATATCTTAAATGTCAATGTTTAAAAAAATGAAACCTTTTTGACTGAAAATATTTGGATATTGTGGAATCACTTAGTCTTTCATGGGCTTTTATATCACCAGTAAAGTTGTGGTTATTTTCAACAGTTGGACAGTATTGTCACCTGGCAGAACCCAGAACCACCCACGGATTTAAGAGTAGCGGAGAAAGATCGAGCCAGTTGTCCATTCTACACTAAAACAGGAGCATGCAGATTTGGAGATCGGTAACTAATTTTCCTTTTTCATGTCAGATTCAAAATGGCGAGGGGTTTTGAGTTCTCTTTTGGATGCGGCATGGGTTTCAGTTTGCAGTGTTCATCATAATACATCTGCTTCTCCATCTCCTCAGCTCTGTTCATCTCTGTTTTCTCTAGCCTATCCTCTAGGTGGCCTTAGCTGAGAGTCTTCTTTGCAGTCTATACCTTTAGGAAAACCTTCTTGCCTGTTAGTTTCTTCCTGAAAAACAGTATGAACACTCAGATTTAAGAGCACACTTAGACTCAAGACACTTCTAGGTTCAATAATTGGCATCAGTGCTGAGTGCAAAAGTCACCTAAACTCTGGATCTTAACTCCTTCATCGGTGAAATGGGGAGGAAGCATAGTATTATTTTCCTAAGGGAACTGTGAGACTGGAATGGGTGAAGGCATGACAAATACTGTGTGGCCACTGATCTTTTCATTGTTACTGTTGTCAATGAGACTGAAACATTCTTGCTCTCTGCCCCCTCCCTCTTTTTAATAAGATGTGTGGAAATCTGTTTATTTCTCTAGTCATTTACCAAATATTTGAACACCTACTCCATACCAAATCATGGTTTTTTTTTTATAATTTGGTTAATTCATGAACAAATCAAAGGTAGATAATTCCTAGTAGTAAGTGACCTTCTGAGGCAAAATCTAACTATTACTACATATTCATCATAAAAGAGAAGATTTAATCCTGATATTAATGTGTTATTAATCTTAAAAGGGATATGAGCAGTGTAATTCATAGAAACTATATTTCATCCTCCAGGTTTTGTTTATTTATAAATGATCCATGCCATGAATTTTATTTCCCTTGAAAATATGGCTGTGTGCCCAGTGGCTTACACCTGTAAACTTATGACTCAGGAGGCTTAGATCTACAGGTTCAAGGCCATCCCATGAAGTCTGGGTTCACTAGACTTCATCTCCAAAATAACCAGCAAAAATCAAGGTTGGAGACATAGTTCAAGTGGTAGAGCACTAGCTAAGCAAGCATCAAGTCTTGAGTACAAACCTAGTACTAAAGAACAAAAGGAAGAGAGAGAGAGACAAAGAAAGAGAAAGAAAGAAAGAAAAAGAAAGAAAGAAAGAAAGGGAAGGAGAGGGAGGGATACAGACTTGAGAGGAGGATAAAGTGAGATATGAATTTTCTCTGGCTTTTTCTTTTCTTTTTTTTGGGGTCCAGTCGTGGGGCCTGAACTCTGGGCCTGGGCGCTGTCCCTCAGCTCTTCAGCTCAAGGCTAGCGCTCTACCACTTGAGCCACAGTGCCACTTCCGGCTTTTTTCTTTTTGCTTATGTGGTGCTGAGGAATCGAACCCAGGGCCTCATGCATGCAAGGCAAGTGCCCTACCACTGAGCCACCTTCCCAGCCCCATTCTCTGGATTTTTCTAATTAAAGCTTTCACAGAGTTTTCCTTCATCTTGTTTTTGTTAGTCCTGGGGCTTGAACTCAGGGCCTGGGTGCTATCTCTGAGCCTTTTTATACTCAAGATTAGCATTCTACCACTTGAGCCAAAGCATCACTCCCAGCTTTTTCTGAGTAGTTTATTGGAGATGAGAGGCTCATGGACTTTCCTGCCCTGGCTGGCTTCAAACCACAATCCTCAGATCTCAGCCTCCTGAGTAGATAGGATTACAAGTGGGAGCCATTGGCGCCTACAGTTTTTCTTTGTTTTGTACAGGTTCTGTGATTCGAATTCAGAATCTCCCAGTCACTCAGTGTGCTTATTCATGGCTGGTGCTCTACCACTTCAGCCATGCTTTAAGCCCTGCTTTTGCTGGGTAATTGGAACTAGAGTCTCATGAACTTCCCTTACCTCACTTCAAACTTTACTCTTCTGCGTCTTAGCCTACTAAATAGTTAAGGATTACAGACAAGAGCCACCAGTGCCTGGAAATTTTTCTTTGTATATTTTTTTCTTTTGCTTTTGCTTATACTGTGGCTTAAACTCAAGGCCTTGTACTCGCTTGGCTTGGTTGCTTGGCTGGCACTGTACTATTAATTATACCTCCACCCCCCATTTTTCTTTTTCTTTTTTTTTTAACCAGTCCTGGGGCTTGAACTCAGGGCCTGAACACTGTCTCTGAATTTCTTTTGCTCAAGGCCACCACTCTACCAGTTGATCCACAGCACTACTTCTGGCTTTTTCTGTATACGTGTACTGAGGAATTGAACCAGGGCTTCATGCATGCTAGGCAAGCACTTTACCACTAAGACACATTCTCAGCCCAAACAGACTAGGTATTTTTTTTGTTGGTCATGGGGCTTGAACTCTGGGCCTGGGCGCTGCCCCTGAGCTTTTCAGCTCAAGGCAAGCACTACCACTTGAGCCATAGCACCATTTCCTCATTCTTCATTTAAAAAAAAATTATTTGGGGTCTAGAAGTGTGGCTCAAGTGGTAGTGCTATGAAGCAAAAGGCCCTATGTTCATACTTCAGAACTGCTCCTTCCCTCAAAAAAAGAGAAAGAAAAGGAAAAAACAGGAGTGTAATGCATGTCTGAAATCCCAACTATTGAGGAAGTAGACATAGTGGCATTGTAGTTCCGGCAGAAGCATGAGACTCTACTTAAAAAAAAATAACTAAAGCAAAAAGAGCCAAGGTTGTGACTCAAATGGTAAAGCACTTGCCTAGGAAGCAAAAAGCCCTGAATTCAAACTCTACTTCACCATCCCCCACCAACAGAAACAGTAGTTCTCAGCCCATATTTGAATAATGTGAATGGCTTTAGGAAATTGCCTTATCAAACAAAATCATCTCATTATCAAACTATGTAAATCAGAATCTCAGATAATTAGGAAGACTTAGTGTGAAATGTCCTCTGGTGTCTCTAATGTGCAACATGTAATTCTTTTTTTATCTTATTGTTGTTATTGTTAAGATGTTGGGATTGCCTGCTTTTGAGGAACTGGTCACTAGGCAAAGGAAAATTTGTTCCCCTTGGTACCTTAGAAGCATTTCCTGAATGTACACTTCATTTTAGGAAGAAGTAATAAGAACTGATCAATGTACAGTGTCCCCCACCAGAAAAGGTGTTCAGCTGATGACCTTTCACAGATAAACATGACTCTGTTTCAGTTCTCATTTGTGTGGGTAGTTCAGTCAGGTTGCTTTTAAGGTTTTTCCAACAGTATCATCCTTTATGCTTATTTATGATGTGTCTCTAGCACTTCTTCCAAATTTAAGACTTGTAGAGGTCAGATTCCAGATTCTCCTGCTAGGCATAAGTGAAAGATGGGTTGATGTCTTCAGTGGTTTAAAGGACCCAGTTGACAGGCAATTTCTTGTGGAAAGGCTTGTCAAATGTGCAGACACACTCTTTCAAGGAATGGCATTTGACAGTGGTCCAATTAATGGATGACCATTTCTTACTGTTTTCATAGGTATATGAACTTTCACCATCATGACTATCTAAGTATAAGGCAATTCAGGAATTTTCATTGTTCCAATGATGAATTGATTGTAATACAAAGTTCTGTGAAATCCACCACCATCCTTCGTCGAGTACCATCCTTCTACACAAGCACACTGTTCTGTGTCCCCTTTTTTGTGCTGATCCTGGGGCTTGAACTCAGGGCTTGGGTGCTGCCCCTGAGCTTTTTTTGTTCAAGGCTAGGGCTCTGCCACTTGAGGTATAGCTCCACTTCCTGCTTTTTGGTGGTTAATTGGTGATAAGAGACTCATGGACTTTCCTACTTGACCTGGCTTCCAACCAGGATCTTCAGATCTCAAGCCTCCTGAGTAGTTATGATTATAGGCAGGAGCTACTGGTGCCTGGCATCTATCTATTTTCTTTCTGTGGTGCCTGGTGTCTACTTCCTTTCTATAGAGAGCCTTGTTGACTTGCTCCAGATAGTATAACCTTTTCTTCAGGGCTTATCAGATGTCAGAGAAATACTTCCTTTCCCCTTTAACTTTTTTCTCCTCTTTCTCTCTTTCTCTCCCTCTCTTCCTTCTCTCCCTCCCTCCTCCCCCTCTCTCCCCCTCCCTCCCTTTCTCTCTCCCTCTCTGCCTCTCCCTTCCACCTTCAGGCTCAAACCACTGCACCAAGCAGAGAAACACTTCTTTAAACTAAGCATTTTCTTTGTGTGTTTGTTTTTGTAATTAGTACAAAATTCGATTCTAGAATTGAATAAATTGTAGAATTGGTATTTTGGGGAGCCATACCTTAGAAGGGAGTTATATTTTCTTTTTCCTCCTAAAGGAAAGTAACCACTGAAGAAAGGCAAAACTTATTTCTCTAAATCTTCACACCTTACTTGCTTCCAGAAGTAATTTAACAAAAGCTTATGATTGGCTACATAAAATAAAATAAAATTGAGATCAAGGAAAGGAGGAGAAAGCAAATTATTGTAAATGTATGATGCTTCTGACTCTTTTTTTCTTATGATTCTTCCAAATTTATTTTTCTTTTTACAAAATTGTTTAGCCTTCCTAATTCATTGTTTATGCATATAAATTAGAAAATAAGCTAATGTATATCAGCAAAGTTGGAATTGAATTAAATCTACTATAGAGGATTTTAGTGCTTCCTAGGGAAAAATTAACTATATTAGTTCTTATTAAAAAGAAAAAGTGACTGATAGGTATCTCTAGAGAGACAAGGATTTTCCTGGTATTTCATTCTAAGTGTGTTTCCCATGGTATCTTGGATAAAGCACAGGAAGACGAACCCTAATGTTGATAGATGGTTTATAACAATTGATCTGCAACTTTCTTGCAAATGTCCCTTAAAATGATCTTTCATAAAGGATTACCACCTAACTTTAATGTGAAAGCAGTGATTCTATGGAGAACAAAGGTAGTGAGGATGGGAGGTGCTCCCTTGAGATGAGACAACAGAAGAATACACTCAGTGGAGCAAAATGGGGATCCAGGCAGAGTCGAGCGACAACTTGACCTTGAGGGAGGAGGCATAGCAGGAAGCAGCCAGAGTTCCAAGGGAAGAGTACTGGGGAAGAATAATACCTTGTACCTGAAGGGTCATTTGGATTCCCTTGACATTTCTTAATGTATTTGGATTAAGTAATGTTCAATGATGTGTTTTCTTGTGACATTTTGACTGGAAGTCCCATCAGAGTGATGGGTAACTAGTGTGTCCTAAATCACTGATTGCCAAACATGGCTGACCCATCAGGACCAAGTGAAGAGTTCCTTAGACAACGTGAGTTCCCTATCCCATGAGGTCTGATCCCATGACCAGAGAAAAGTCACTATTCCCAGCTAATTCTAAGAAGCACACAAGCTCGGAACCATAGCTGTACATGACCTTTTTAACATACTCATTTCTATTAGCTGACTTTTTCACACAACCATGGGGCTGGCCTTGTGATTGCAAAGACTCTACTTAGTCTCCAAGCCAAGTGAAGATTATTCCCCAGAGAGGGACGTTGGCGCTCTTCAGGTCTTAGGAATGCTCATAAATGGGAACTAGAGCCAAGTTTATTCAGATCTAAGTATCCTGTGAACAGATTCTTAACCTTGTTAAATTGGTTCCTTGTTTAATTGTGTATGTGCTTCCATCCTTACAAGCTGACATCGTTACCAGGTTGAATCCTTTTTTCTTTATTTTTTCAACAATAATACTTTAGGAAGTGAGTGTAATTACAAGGTCTGTAATTCAGTTATCCAGAAGGTCATTTGGAAATAGAAAAATTCACTTTAATGTGCTGCGCCTTCTGTAGAGGTACATAGATGTATTCCATTTCAGACCTAGAAACTGAGTGTGAGTAAACATTTGGTCACTTTCGAGCCATTGTTGTTTTTTCCCCCCCTCCAGTACTTGCCATATTCTTTAACTTTCTTTCTTCCTAAGTTGTTTTTTTTTCTTAAAAAAATCATTTTACTTATTTTTGGCTGCATTGGGGTTTGACTTCTTTACCCTTAATAGATAGGTAATCTACTGCTCTAGTTAGGCCTCCAGCCCTTTTGCTCTCATTATTTTTGAGGTCAGGTCTTAACTTTTTGTCTGGACTGTCATTCTCATGTTTATGCTTCCTGCAAGCTGGGGTGGCAGGCATGTGCCATCTCACCTAGCTATTGGTTGGGATGGGGATCTTACAAATTTGCTCAGGCTGGCCTTAAACCCTGAGCCTCCTGAGTAGCTAGGATTATAGATGTGAATCACCAGCTCCTGATTTCTTTTACAGATTTTCAACTAAGATCCTAACCAGGAAAATTTTTGCTTCTTTAGAACTGGGACTAAATATTAGGAGAAGGGAATAAGTAAGAAAATAAACTCATATAAAGAATTAGAAATCATTACTTGGGCACAGCCTGGTCAGTGTAAGCCTTAGTCCTGTCTAAACTGTGAGAAAAAAGTTCTTTACAGTTGTTAGAAACCTTCATGAAATAGAAATTCAGTTAAAGTCATTGTACTGTAATGACCAGGCATCAGATTTTAGGTTAACTCAGATCTACCAGGGGTCTATGGATTGAGTAGATGTACAATTTCAAGGTTCCATTTCCTTCTCTGCAAAGTAGGGCTGTAGCACAACCAGGCTCAGAGGGAATAAAGGTAAAAAAAAAAAACGCATAAAAACTATAAAACTCTATATCCTCCTCTGTACATAAGTGAGATTATAATACTTCATTAATGAGAAATTGTTGTTCTCTAAGTATTTAAATTAAATGAAGATTGTATAAAACCAGGAGTACATTCTTCTCGTGTTCCTCTTGAGACCCCCATTGGCATTTCATGTGTGTGTCATAATTTGTCACCCCAATGTCTTCTTTTCCCCTACCATTCAGCATATAGAAGTCTTTCCGAACTTCACTTAGAGGTACCTGAATGACACAGAACTTGGAAATCATTCTTAATCGTACATTTAAATGGAAAGCTCCTATCTTAGTCTTAGAAGAATTCTAAGACTGCTGAAGCATGGCACCTGAGTAGCATTTCTTACCATACAGTTAAGTAAAACAACAACAACAACAATAACCGTAGCTGAGTCTGTCTCTTAAAGTTCTAAGGCAACATTTTTAGGTTCGCTTTTTAAGTATTGGACTAATGGACTTGATTTTTTTTTCATATATAGGTGTTCACGTAAACATAACTTCCCCACATCGAGTCCCACCCTTCTTATTAAAAGCATGTTTACAACGTTTGGAATGGAGCAGTGCAGGAGGGATGACTATGACACTGACGCAAGCCTGGAATACAGCGAAGAGGAAATCTACCAGCAGTTCCTAGACTTCTATGATGATGTGTTGCCTGAGTTTAGGAACGTGGGGAAAGTGATTCAGTTCAAGGTGGGCATGGGCGTGAGGAGGGGACTGGTGCACTTCACCCTCAAGTTCTCCATGCGCCAGCAAGCTGGGGCTCGTGCTTGTCACCTGGGTGGAGCTGTGTGCTAGTAAGTGCCTGGTCCCAGGTCAGGCATGCAGGTACTTTGGCCAATCAGTGTCCCTTCATTTCTTTCTCCCTTTCCGTCCCCACTCTGAGTGATGCTATAGCGTTACCACATGAAAGCATGTGAAAGCATGTATCAGCATGCTAGTTTTCTGAACACTAGGGGCAGGGTTGCAAAGGACCCTTCATTTCTTGAATAACTTTGGACTATAGCTCTTTGTGGCATTTGAATTCTCTGTATCAGGTCGTCTGTATGCAGCCATGCAAGGCTTCACTTAGACACCCCCTCTCCCCATGAGGACAGCATGCCCCATCCTTCCTGTGTGGGCACCTGACCTAGAACTGTGTGAACACACTCTGTGACTCAGCTCCACTCACTGAGCATTTTAGCCCACTGTGCTGAGGGGGGTCTGTTTGTACCTCCTGCTCAAGGTGCATGCTTTCTTTTGGAGCTACATAAAACGTAGAAAACTTGATTACTTTTTTCTTTTTCTTTTTTTTTTTAATATTTTTACTCATCGTCTGCTATCCATACTGAAGATAATGTTCTCAAACCATGGTTTGGGATAACATACTAAGGGAAAAAAAAGAGGCATTCAAATAACATAATTATTTAAAAATATTCCTCAAAGCAAGGAGGGTAAGGCTAGATGTGATCCTTGCTTCTGGAACCCATTCGTTAAACTGTAATACAGAAAGACCCCTTCCCTGTCCATCATTTGGTCAGATCTGAAATGGAATGACTCATGTTAGGGCAAGGAAAATATCCGACACTTTGGATTTTTCATCTCTGCTGTAGGAAATGACAGTAGAGAGTTGGAACAGTCAAGTGACAGAGAGATTCCTGAATTTTTCAAGGCTGCTTTTTTGTTCCAAAGTTTTAGCAGGGATTTAGTATGTCAAGATAAAGTAAGGGGAAATGGGGGCAAAAAAGGGAGAAACATTTCCTCCCCTCCAAACAGGAAATGAGAGGAAAGACCTCTGAAGGCTATACTTCCAGTAACTACTTTGAAGATTTTAAGACATTCTTTAAATGATTTTCCCCTTTAACCTTTATTCCTGTTGCATGCCCTTCCCTGCCTTCACTTTGCTCAGCACAAGCAGTAACCACTAAAACGGAAGTATATGCTCATGCCTATACGATAGCACACTGAAGCAAGCACTGGCCACGGAAGCAATGTGCTTTGACTCGCCTTGTGCTCTCAGCTATGTCACTTTACCACGCAGAGTGAGATTGACCTAATTAACGCCAGTGTTTCCTATGAAGCATACTGTGTGGAGCATACAGCAGTGGTGTTGCTTTCAGGATCGACTAACATCTAGGATGTAGTTCAGGGGTAGATTACTTACCATACACAAGGCTGTGGGTTTCATTTCTACCACCACCAAAGAAATAAAATTAAATAAAAATTAGTTACTTAGTTTTGTGTGTATGCTGGTAGTGGGGCTTGAACTCAAGGTTTCACACTTTTTTGCTCTACCACTTGAGCCATAACCTCCACATCCAAATTAAATGAAAATATATTAAAATATGAAAAAAATGAACTTCCAACTGGTTAATGGAAAATCACATATTACTGGAAGGAGCTAACAGACACTAACTCTATTTTTTCCCCTTTTGATTAGAAACCTGGTAAGATGGCTGAGTTTATTCTAAACATGTTGGCAGTAAATTTCAGAACATCAAATCAATGATCAAAAACTAATAATAGATCCTTGAGGAATCTGGATTAAATGGTATTTTTAAGCTTCCTGACACAGTTGACATGGACTTTTGAGGTTCTTCAAGAAATTCTTCATTTGAAGGATGATGTTGCAAACTGTCCCTTTTGGATGCTTGTAATAACAGTACTCTGAAACAAATGTATAAACTTATAGATTTGTTTTAACGATTGTTTTAACGAATTTTGGGGGATCTTTTCATATATAGTATCATAAAAATATATCAAAGTTGTCATTTTTGAAGACACATGATGAAATGGTCAACCTTACTAGTAATAGAGACAGTATATGTGATAATGAGCTATTCACACCTACCTGCTAAGCAGTTATACAGTGTGGTAATCAAGAGTAGGTAAAGGGTGTGTGTTAGCATAAGTCACTCCAGAAAGTGGTTTGGCACCGTGTAGTCATGGAAACCCACAAATCATCATGTTCCTGGTTATGCAGATGAGAGAGGTCCTGAGACCCATAGAGAGGCATTCTAGAATATCACCGCAGTACTGTTCATGGACGAAAAATTGGAAGTACCTTGAGTAGCCATCACTAGAAGAGTAGATGCATAAATGTGATTATTTGATGTTTCTAGTAGGCAGGAGTTAAGTCCTTAAGTTTGCATTATTATGTCTTAGAAAAATACAGGATGACTTTTATATAAGATTTAAAAACTCGCTAAGCAGTACTATATGTTATCAATGCATATACATGTTCCTTTGCATACATATACATAAGTGTGTATACCATGTTGCATAATATATACTTGTGTGATACATATCTTCTGGCATGCATATAGATGTATATATGCCTGTATATCTATATACGTATAGTTGTGTCTGTAGATCTATGCGTGTATATATATGTTTATGTCTGCATTGTGAAAGCCATACCCAGACTCTCTTTAGTGCTTATTTAAGTTATGGAGGAAAGAGAATATGATGGGAGGATTTCAGTCGGGCCTCTAATGTTTTACTTCTTCCAACACTTTCAATCAACTTTGAAAAAGTGTCAAGTGTTAAGTCTGGGTAGTACATCTCTGAATTGTTGAATGGTCTCTATACTCTTATGCATGTGTGAAAGAAACATTTCATATTTATGGAAAAAGCAAACCAGACCTAGATCAATCGGGATCAGATAAGTGGAACAATTATGCCTTATACAGTTGATAGAGTTGCAATAGTATCTGTTTTGAAATTGGATCCCTAACTACTTTTAGAAATGTTAGCCTGGACAAAGTACATCTGATGACAAGATGTTTTCTTTAATTTCTCATGATCACATTCCTCATTGTTCCCATAGGTTAGCTGCAACATGGAACCTCATCTGAGAGGCAATGTATATGTTCAGTACCAGACGTAAGTATTTTGGATGTGCCTGTCTTCGTGTTTTGTCATAGTAAGATAGTTTGATTCTGTTGATGTCGGAGACTTTCTCACTGGATATCTAGCCTTTATATGCACGGCATCTTCCAAAATGTAACTATTCAGAGCTGATGGGAAGCATTTGAAAAATAATACGGTTGATTTTTTTCTTTGTATAATTAAAGATTTTGAATCTTTTACAGTATATTATATATATTAAAAATTATTTATTAATTTTTTTCAGTGGTTGGGGCTTGAACTCAGGGCCTGGGTGCTGTCCCTAAACTCCCTTAAAGCTAGTGCTCTACCACTTTGAGCCACAGCTCCACTTCTGGTTTCCTGGTGGTTAATTGGCGATAAGCATCACACAGCCTTCCTGCCTGGGCTGGCTTTGAACTGTGATTCTCAGATCTCAGCCTTCTGAGCAGCTAGGATTACAGGCAGGAGCCATCAGTGCCTGGCTATTGTTATATATTATAACAATGAAAATTCAAACTGAAAAAAGATGACTAGGATAGAGAGTATAAAATACAAATATTAAAAAGCCAACAAAGCCCCAAACAGTCAGTATGTATCTGGTCATATAAGAGAGTAGTTGCTGTATTTTTTCTGCTTGTCTTGCCATTTGCCTAGGCAACACCCTGGCGAATTGATTCAGTTAACCACTGGAATGAAAATAACAGCAGTGTTAGTTGAGAAAGCATAAGCTCTAACAACAGGAAACACTTCTGCAGTTTCAATGGTACAGCCTTTCGGTTTAAGAGGCTTTGACTGAAGCCAATTTCCATGCATCAAAACCTCTTACAGGGCCTGGTGCTGGTGGCTCACGCCTGCAGTCCTAGCTACTCAGGAAGCTGAGATCTGAGGATCATAGTTCAAAGCCAGCCTATGTAAAAAAGTACCCATAAGACTCAGCTTCAATTGACCACTCAAAAACCGGAAGTGGAGCTGTGGTTCAAAGTGGCAAAGCGCTTAGCCTTGAGCAAAAGAGCTTAGGGACAGGGCTCAGGCCCTGAGTTCAAGCCCCATGACTGACAGGACAAAAAGAAAAAAATCACTCACAGGGTTAATAAGAAAGGTTCCTGAAAATTGTGAGCTGCAGGAGGCTGAATGCTCTAGTTAGGATGACTCCTGAGGCAGTATAAAAACTGTGAACTCGCTGGTCCAATAATAACTTAATAAAATGGTTAATTAATAATGGGTTTCACCTGCCTATTAGAATTATTCTAAAGCACATCCTTTGGTTTTTGGTTTAAAGGGAAGAAGAATGCCAATCAGCACTTGCCTTGTTTAATGGCCGATGGTATGCAGGAAGACAGCTTCAGTGTGAATTCTGCCCAGTCACCCGGTGGAAAATGGCCATTTGTGGTAAAAGACTATATGATTTTTGTCCCACTATATAAAGATCTATTCTTTGAGGGGAAGGGATGAAGCCTACCTCGTCTCTCACAGTAGATGAGCAGAGATGTTATAAATACAACGGATGCAGCCATTTGCATTTGGAACAGACTTTAGAGGTTACTTTAGCGCAATGTATCAATGACAGAGTTGGGGCTAGAATTTCAGTTTTCTGATCCTCAGTCCAGGGCTATGTGCCTAAAATTATAAAGTAGGAGACTTTAGCAGCTTTGTTTTAATAAATATTGTCATTTAAAAATTTCATGGGCCGGGCTTAGAGGCCTGTGCTTATAATCCTAGCTACTCAGAAGGCTGAGATCTGAGGCTCACATTTCAAAGCCAGTCCCGGCAGGAAAGTCCTCCAGACTCTTTTTTTCCAATTAACTACCAAGAGAAAATAAAAAAGCCCAAAGTGCAGATGTGGCACAAAGTGGTAGTGTGTTAGTTTGAGCACAAAAGCTCAGGAACAAAGCCCAGGTGCCCCAAGTTCAAGCGCCAGGATCAGCACCAAAACAAAAACAAAACCCCCAAAATACAACAAAACTTCATGGGAGGCTAAGGCAGGATGATAATGAGTTTGGGGCCAGGAAGGATTACGTAATGAGATCCTGTTTCAATCAACCAACCAGTCAATTGTTAATCAGCCATTTATGAAGTGGGGAGGATTTTGGAATTCCTGGTTTTTGAAATATGTGGTAAGTTTTAGGAGTGGGGATAGAGGAGATGAAATTGTTTTCTCCATTAAGGAAGTTGCTTTTGCCAGTTCCTGAGATTGCAGTGTAATTTTAGTGAGGTGCTTCTGACTGTGGCTTTGACATTGCCAAAGTAGTCTTTAAAAGAGATAATAGCTTTGTTGTTTTCTCAGTGACTAGTGATATGTGCTCATTACTGACCATTTGTATCCTTGGAGAGATATCTGTGGTTTAATCGTGGGTCTATTTATTTTTTTTTTAAATAAACAGGGTCAGTTCATTTGAAAGCAAAAGAAAGGCAGTGAAAAAGAAAAGTAGCAGAAAGTCTATATTAGGAGAAGGAGCTAAAGAGGAGTCCCAGGCCCATTTTTAATTAGGATATTTGCCATTATATTACCAAGTCAAAAAAGTTCTTGCTATATTGCGCACACAGGACCAATCACAAATGTGATCTACAAATGTTTTCACCCGTTCCATAGGTTGTCTTTTTACTTTGTGTTTAAAAGGAGTAGTATTTTTTAAGTCTAACTTTATTTTTCTTGCCTTTAGATTTGTGCTTTTTAGGGTCCTATCTAGCTAGGACCCTTTTGCTTACCTCAAGGTCACTAAGACTTACTATGTGTTTTCTTCATTTTATTTTTCATATTTAAGTTTCTGTGATCCAGTTTGAGTTAATTTCTGGATATAGTGTGCTACTGAACCATTTTACGTATTTGCGGAATTTACAACTTAAAATAGAAATAAAGTCTAATATCTCCAAAAGAGTTTTAAAGAGTTCAAATCGAGGATTTTTTAACATCATCAAATAGTTTTTAATTTTAAGTATATATTAATTGTACAAAGGGATTCATTATGATGGTTCCATATTCAAATTAATTTAATTAGGAAGTCTTTTGTAATAAAGCACTTGGCAAATTCAAGGCATTTGGTCAGTGTTTATTATCACTTTTCTCTTTAAGTAGAAACAATTTCCTCTTAAAGTGGAAAGAAAACAAATTCCTCACCTATCAGAAACCATCTTTTTTTTTGTGCTAGTCCTGGGGCTTGAACTAAGCACCTAGGCGCTGTCCCTGAGCTTCTTTTGCTCAAAGCTAGCACTCTACCACTTGAATCACTTCAGGCTTTTTCTAAGTAGTTTACTGGAGTTCAGAGTTTCATGGACTTTTCTTCCCGGGCTGGTTTCAAACCACAATCCCCAGATCTCAGCCTCCTGAGTAGCTAGGATTACAGATGTGAGTACGGCCACCTATTTTTTAAAAATACAATTTTATTGTTATTAAGGTGTTTCACAGAGGGGTTATCATTTCATGTCAGATAATGAGGACATTTCTTTTTGGACAATGTCACCCCTTCTGTTGCTTTCCCCCAATTTCCCCTTCCTGTACCTGCCCATAAAGTGTGTAGATGATTTTCCACAGTGTTTACTGAACACCATGACTACATTTGTTCACTCTTTCTTCTTCCCTTTTTGCACCCTCCCTTGACCTCCCCTCAAAGCCAGACAAAAGAACAAAACAAAAAAGCAAAAACAAAAAGTTGCCACCTCCACCAAAAATAAAAAACACCCTCCCACCTTTCTATTTCCTGAAATTTGTTTTGATAAATAGTATTTTAAATGTTCAGAAGAGGTATGCCTTTGAGATCCTCTACTAAGAGCATCCTCCTTTTGTCTGTTTGTACGTGAATGAGAAACTTTTTTTTTATTGTAAAGATACTGTATAGAGGGGTTATAGTTACATGAGTAAGGTAATGAGAACATTCCCTATCGAGCAATGTTAGAAACCATCTATTTTGACCAGTCATTTGCCCTGCCATCAGAGCATGCTACATGTGGTAGCGACCCCAAGGCCTGGCCATTTACTATTAATTCGGAATCTTCTTAATCAGCACATGGTAAAATTCTGGAGCAGGTGATCACCATTTGTTCAGTTGCAGTCTGATGATACAATATTCTAGTTAATTAACATGCCTGGCTTGTTTCCACTTTCATTTCGTAAGAGTATTTATATATATAGTATTTATAAGACTGTTGTTGTAAATCTGGGAACCAAAGTATCACATCAACCTATATAGGCCCCATTTAAGTAACACAGGGTTATAAATAATGCAAGCCCCTCCAAATATCAGAAATAGGGTATCTGAATAGGGTAAAGGACCCAGCCCACAAAGCACGCAATAACTGTGGCTTCCTCCTTGTGCCTCTGCAGGTTTATTTGAGATCCAACAATGTCCAAGAGGAAAACACTGCAACTTTCTTCATGTGTTCAGAAACCCCAACAATGAATTTTGGGAAGCCAACAGGGACCTCTTGTGTCTAGATCAGACTGGCCCTTCCTTTGGGAAGAACTTGGAGAGGAGAGACAAGATGGGTCACCACGAGGAATACTATAGCAGGTCAAGAAGAAGAAGAAGCCCCAGTGAAGACAATTCCTACAAGAGAAATGGGGAATCTACTGCTAGAAAGAGAAGTAGTCATCGGGGGAAAAAGTCTCACAAACACTCGGCCAAGGGTCGTGGTAGGCACAGTTCAGGGAGTAGAGGAAGGAAGAGGGACAGTAGTCGGAGCCCCAGCAGCCAGAGCCACAGCCGCAGGAGCCACAACCACCACCGGAGCCACAACCACCGCCGGAGCCACAACCACCACCACTGTAAGCATCGCCAGAGCCGGAGCCGGAGCCAGAGCCGGAGCCGGAGCCAGAGCTCATCTCCATGCAGGGATTAGGGCGGGCAAGTCAAGTCGTGGAGGTAAAACCATTGAGAGTCCCAATCCAAATAAAACTTTTATTCTTTAATGGCTGTGTATCACTGTGACTCCTACATACATACATACATATGACTACATACCTGGAGAGAGGGCAGTGAGTGCACATCCATTTGCACGGATATGTCGTATGACCTCTGAGACCAATAAAAGTTGCTTTAAAGAAAGAAGTATGCCAGTCGCCCATGGCTCACACCTGTAATCCTAGCTAATCAGGAGGCAGAGAGCTGAGACTGGGGAGGGGGGTGTGGATTGCAGCCAAATGGATAGGAAAATTGGTGAAACTGATTAAGCATCATAAAGCCACAAGTGGAGCAGTGACTCAAGTGGTAGTGTGCCAGCCTTGAGCAAAAAAAGCTCAGGGGCAGCACCAGAATTCAAGCTCCAGTTCCAGCATGTGCATTTGCGCACGCACACACGTGTGCACACACACACAATTAGGGATTGAACCTAGTGCCTCACACATGCTTTGGTTTGCACTCTAGCAATAACCCTATCCCTTTTGCTTTTTGTTCCAGATAGGGTATCTCAAACTTACAGGCCTCCTGCCCCGCACTGCTAGAATAGCTATAAACTACAGGCATGCGGTTCTACACCTGGCTAAAGATAAATATTTTTTTTAAAGTTTGATCAAAGGATTTTAGAATAACAATATTGAGTGATGAGGAAAAGCTAACTGTATGTCCTGCTCCCCGTGCAGGAAATGGGAGTAATAGACTTAATGGGGGTTGCTGTTTATAGCCTTTAATACTTTCTGAGCTGGGAGAATATACAGGGTCATTCATATCTTAATAATTCCCAATCCTTAGAAAATGGTTCTAAGGTGGGCAAGATGGATGCTCTTTAGTATTCTAAAACATGAAGATGCAACCAAGGCCCATCTAAAATACAGAAGTCTTTTTCTCCACTTCCCTTTTTACCTGTTGTAAAGTTTACAGTAAAACCGAATATTCTTAATTCATTGTGGGGAGGAGGGAGGAAGTGGAGGGAAATCCACCTTAAGGTCAAGCCAAAATTGAGATGTTGATCCTTTCCCTTCAGATGTCAATGGGGTGGGAGCTTATAAACCTTTGATGATTGTGGTAAACATCCATCTTAAACTTAGCTGCAGTTATGTGGGGCTCTTGACTGTGCACCTTCAGTAGACAGGAGGTGAGAGTAATCAGATGGTTTGGATACCTTTATCAGGAATAATCGTAGTTGGCTGTTCAGAAAGAAGTCAACTGCATCAAAGTTTTAAAAGCGACATTTATTAATTGAAAATAAATGTGTTAATATGCTCTGGGCAGCATGGAGTTCATGTTTTTAGTGAGTTGAAGTACATGAAAATGCCTTAGATCTGTTATTTATTGATGTGCTTATAATCACCACCAAATGCAGATGGGGGGAGGGGTGTCAAATGGTGGGAAGGGTTAACATTTTATTGAACACGAGAAATTCTTCCTTCAGCAGCTCTCCGTAGTTGGACCAACTTTTGGAAAGAGAGATTGAAAACACACCACAGTGTTTATATGGTGAACATTTATTACAACTGGATGTGATAAGACAGTGCTCATGTGGTCTGATTGTTGTTTACAATCACAACAAAGCTTAATCCAGCCCAGCATATATACAAGGGAAAGTGTGAACACCAGGACATGTTTAGATAATGTATGAAAGTGACTGTCGAACAGTTACACGGCTTGAAAAATAGCGTGCCAGTTAGTGCCATTTTACTTCATTCAACTCTCACTTTGTAATACGAAAGGTTTTTCAATTTTTGTTAATGTTCTGCTCGCTAAGCAATGCCACAGAAGGAAAGGAAGCTGCTGTCAAGTGTTTTAGCACTTCTAACTGCAAGGAAGCAATAGAGAAGCGAAATAAATTTGGCTTTAACAAGCACCCCAGAAGGAACACTGGTACTTTCAAGATTGATTTTATGCAACGTTGAGAAGAACCATCCATAACAAATTCTGGAAGAGTCTGTTACCAAAACTTCCTGGCAAACTGATGATCTCACTTTATTTTGGGCCATCAAAAAACTAAGTAAATGAAGAGGACCTCAAAAAACTCATCTTCAGGAATCAAATGGACCTTGGCCTCTTAATAATTTATGTGCTATTAAGAAACATTCTTTGTCCCTCATCTGGTTTGTTCATATTATTAATTTGTATTGTAAAACAATATCATTCCAATCTCGTCATCAAAAACAATGGATGCTTTTTTTTTGTTTGGCGTTAAGGTATGGAGTATCCAATATAGGTCTTTCGTATAAATTTGGATTTTGCTTAAAGTTTCAGTAGCTCAATTTTCATTCACTTGATCTGTAACACGTCAATTCCCTTTATTCTTAGACAGGCCGAAATGGTGCCCTAATCTAGTCTTTGGTTCCATAAAACCAGCTTTCACATTCAAATTTGAGTTTTCTTGGTCAAACCCAGTAGTAAGTATATTTTGCATGATTTGTTTGAGATACATGTTATCCAGATATCATTCTTATATATGCACATAATCAACTAAAAGAAATGGATCTATAAAGTATCCCCAAAAGGTTTCTTTTTCTATATCTTTCCAATACATAATTTAAGTCCCTTAACTTATCATCTTTGATTCACCAAAGTTCCCTTTAAAAAAAATTGTGTAGGCCTGAATGAAGCAGCTTAGCAAAACAGTTAATACTGACAAGACATCATCTTACACCATTAGCTAACATGGACATGAAGGCAGTGACCATCTACAAGTGTGAAATGCCACAAGAAGTCATCAACAAGGGAGAAGAGTTATGTCAGTCCAATTTCTTCAAGAACACTACGTGGGGTTTCAGCTTCCTGTGGAGGGAAAATGTGAGATTCTGGTAAGCAGATCCAGGGAGGGCCTCTTAAGGTGAAAAACGGACATGAAGGACATGCCCCAGAAATATTCTACTAGTGACAGCCAGTTAGTTCAGTGCTCCAAACTCTGGAAGCCACAGAAAAGACATCACCATCTGTATTAAATATTTACTGTAAATCCGCCAATGTATGGGGGTTCAATTAGCATAACACACAAAGCAATCAAACCAATGCAATTATAATGGATGAAATCACTGGTAGTCCATTAAATAAGGAAATATTATCTTACTGTTAAAAAAAAAATCTCCTGCGAGTAAAAAGCAGCCTCCCCACCTCAAGTTCCCTATGCTTCACCAATTTGTTTTCTGTTCCATGGATTTATAGAAATGACTTCCTCTTGATATTTTCACTTTAAATGTTCACAAGCAGTAATGTTTTAGAAATGGTCCTTCCAAGATCTCAGGGCAAACATCTCTGGAAGCCACATACGGAAGACAACAAACACTTTGAGAGAAAAGGAACTTGCTCAGCTGGTGATCTACCATTTAAGTCTTACTTCCAGCCCAGCCTTTTCTGGTTATTTTGGTGATGGAGTCAAGCAACCTTTTCTGCTCGAGCTGGCCTTGAAACATGATCCTCCTTACCTTAGCCTCCGAGTAGCTGTGATTATAAGTGTGAACCACTGGCACCTGGCTCCAATATTTGTATTTGAATTTCAAAGGAAGACAAAACCAAGTTGCTAGGAAAAAAACCTATTTCAAACCATTTCCAAAGTGGCTAACTTTGCACATAACAAAATTTTTAAAAAGGCATGCAGATCAACTTTTAGGAATTACTAGCACTTTTGTAATTAAAAGGCAATTATTATATTTTAATGGTGGATTAACAATGTAAAATTTTGATACTTAATAATAAACTTACTTTTGCATCCTAATTGTGGTACAGCACAAAACAAGGAAAAGTCATATTAAATAATAAATTCATAGAACATCAGGTTTAATTATTATAAAGCACTTTACAGTATAACAATAAATTACTTAACCTTTATGATCAATTTCTATATTTGGAAATCAAGAATAACAGTACTACTTACCTTCATGTGTTGAGGTTAAGAGAATTTAAGTCTCAGTGCCTGATTTATAGAAAGTGCTTTAAAAAACATTAGCTGGTAAGTTAGAAAATTGAAAACTAAATGAAGGCATTTTAGTATTTAGTATCAAGTTAAATTACTGTAGCCAAAAATGTACATAGTGTGACCTGTTAATGTTTCTGTAGTAATGGAAATCTGGGTGGAAGTGAGGTTGGTGAAAAAAGTTTTTTTTTGGTTGTGGGGCTTGAACTCTGGGCCTTGGTACTATCCCTGAGCTCTTCAGCTCAAGGCATGTGCTCTACCACTTGAGCCACAGCACCACTTCTGGTGTTCTGATGGTTTATTGGATAAGAGTCTCCCAGACTTTCCTGCCTGTGCCGGCTTTGAACTGCAATCTTCAGATCTCGGCCTCCTGAGTAGCTAGGATTACAGGCATGAACCACTGACACCTGGCTTGAAAAAGGTATTTTTTTAAAGCGTAGTCTCATTATATATCCTTCCCAACTGAATTCACTTTATTCAGGTTATAAATTTTAAGATGGTGGATAAAAGAACGAATCGAATATCACAATAATACAATCAGTGAACAGTAAAAAAAAAACTATGGCATTAAACGATCAGTTTTTAAAAAGCTAAGGAGGAAAAAAGCTGATAACTTGTTAAAAATTTAGAGATTTAAGACTTATCAACCAGATAGATATAATATGATGCTTGTCTGGTATCTGGTTCTAACAAACTAAACATAAAAGACATTTTCTTCCAGACAATTAGGAAAATCGGAACCAGATAGGAGAATTACTATTAACTTTGTTGGGTGTGGAACTACTGTTAGGTATTAAGTAATATAGGTGAAATAGGAGGATGTCTCAGGTTTGCTCTAAAATTCCAGGGCAAAACTAGAGGAATGTTCTTGAGTAAACAAGTAGAATATTAAGTTGATGATTGGTGACATTGAGTGATGTGTACCTGAAGGTTCTTTATAGAATTCTCTACATTTATGTCTTGAAGCTTTCATGATAGGTTATTTTTAAAGTCAAATGGAAAAGCAACCCTCTCAAACTCCATATATGCCAATTTCTTCCATTTATAATGTTTAGCCTTTAATCATTAAAATACAACACACTGTATAATATCTGAACCATATATTTAATATTTTAACTCAGTTATTTCCACTTAATATTGAGTAATGTTTAAAAGTTTAATGCAACCTTTAGTACGTTAATTAAAGGATGCTTTGAGTTGTATACAGTTTACACTCTAAGTTTATCTTGGTAAAAATGGCCCAGAGCTATTTTGTGGAGCCAATCAGATTTCTATTATATGCTCACTGCCTGCAGAATTTCTTGAGAAAGAATCATGATGCTTTTTGGATATGGATTATTTAAAAATTTTCTTAAAAGCCTAGTTTCATTTACACACTTTACTCCTTTAAGACTGTGTAATTTGAACTTTTTTTTGTCAGTCATGGGGCTTGAACTCTGGGCTTGGGCACTGTCCCTCAGCTCTTGCTCTTCAGCTCAAAGTGAGCGCTCTACCACTTGAGCCACAGCACCACTTCTGGTTTTGTGGTGGTTAATTGGAGATAAGAGTCTCACAGACACTCCTGCCTGGGCTGGTTTTGAACCACGATCCTCAGATCTCAGCCTCCTGAATAGCTAGGATGACAGGCATGAGCCACCAGTGCCTGGCTTAATTTGAACGTTTTTTTTTTTTTTTTTACAAATTGTTTATAATATAAAATGTAATTTTCCTACAGGTTCACACTAAAATTGTAGCTCAAAATTATTTAGGAGAATAATTATCTAAAATAGTAAAATCATAAGCACAGAAAGTTCAATGGTGTTTACCAAGGCCTGTGGGACCAAGAAATGGGGAGTGGTTGATTTGATGGGTATAGTCACTTTTGCAAGATGAAAAAGTTCTGGAGATGTGTTGCATAACAATGTAAAAATACTTAACACTACTGAACTATATACTTAGCAGTGCTTAAAATGATGACTTGAATGTTAAATGTTTTAAAATCACATTGAAAAATAACCTGGAATAATACAAATATAACATGTTATTTTATCAAAAGGGATGAAGAAGTAAAGGCCATTCACATGAGTTGAAGTACATGCAATACTTTTATTTTAGACATGCAAGGAAAGCTCTCTCAGTCTACTAATTTAAGCAAGCGGCTGTATACAGATAACCACAAAAAAGCCACATTTTGTTACAGCTCAGCACACAGCAACCAAAGCAATCAGGCAGGAGACAAAGCAAATTTATTTCTGCAGCATTAAAACCAGATGAACCATACTGCAGGACAGAGAAAGGAATGGAGAAAAACCAATGGAAATGAAAGACCAATGTTTCCCAATATTTCAAACATAGTACAATGCAACACGAATGGAGATGACTGATCTGACCTGCCTAATACTAAGCTTGCTGCAAGCACATGTTCAAAGGTCTTTCAATGAGTGGTAGCTTAAAAGTTAGTGTTTAGGACCAAATTTCTTAACCCAGGCTTCAAACTCTTTCGATCCAATTGATTAACTTGGTACTTTTCTTTTCATTGTAAAATATGCTGAACGTTAAACAGCATACACCATATTAGTCAAAATTAAAGTTTTGGATATTCAGAAAGATATAACCCTAGTTAGCAAAAAATTAAGGATTTAAATGGAGGCTTATATTAGATAGCCATTAACTAATTAAATATAAGAATTTAGATATTGAAACAATGCATATTAGGCATTCTGTACTGTAATATTGTTATGGAAGGGCTACCACTAAGCCTTGCAGGACAAACTTTGCACACATAGTTTTCTTAAAGGGATAATACTTTTATCTTTAGATGACTGTGAAACTTTTTTTCCACTATTTTTAAAAATGTTTCTTTATTGTAAAGATGCTGTACAGAGGGGTCACAGTTACATGAGTAAGGGAAAAAAATTCTAAAAGGGATTGTTTAAGGTGGAGGCATGGCTCAAGTAGTAAAGCGCCTCCTAAACGGATTATTTGAGTTTATTTTATAGCACAAGTCATGGAATAAATGTGGCACTGAAAAAGAAAACTAAAAAGTTTCTTAAAAATCAAATGTTTTAACCAGATCAATTTTTACATAACATATCAGAACATATTGCTTCATACAGACTACAGTCACACTAAATAATTTCTTTTCTGGAACTGAAGATTAAACCACACTAAATATTATGGTACTGCTTATTTTGGACCAAGTGCTTTAGCTCTATTTTCTTTGGTAAACATAAATGATTGCCAGGCTTTTCTTAGACAATTAATCCAGATGGTTCATTAATAATCACATACATGTTTTTAATGAATATTGCTCATAATACTCACAGACCATATTTTGTCAAGAAAAAATTAAATCAGAAATGGATATCACATACAGAATGAAAATAAAACAGCAAAGTGGGGTATGAAAAGAGGAAAGGTATACAATCAAAAAGGTACTGGTTCTAGAAGTTCTATTATTATTTTACAAGACAATAAATCACCAAGCTGAGGATATTTTCTTTCATAAGTATATCAGCTCTATTTCCTCTGGTAAATTCTGCATACTCGATGAGTAGTCATTTAGTACACAGGGACATTAAAATATTCATGACGTGGCTACAAAAGAAATGCATATATTCTTATACACAATAGAAAAACTGATATAGACACAATCAGATTTATAGAACTTTTAAGTTAATAAAAATTTAAGGGGTTGTTTACTTTTGTTCTTTGGTTTATGACTGAATATTTAACTTCTTTAATAATGCCCAGATCAAAGTCACATTTCTATTATACATTTCTGTATGTAAGGGTAAACAAAATGTTGCTCTGTATTTACAAAGCAAGGTCTTTATTTCACTCTAAAGATATTTTCAGTGTAACTCAATAATGAGCAAACTGAAAG